TGTTCTTTTTTGAAGACAGAGGCAAATTTTAGCTTTTGAAACGTTAAGATTGTGGAAGGTGAAAATCCCCAAAGAAGGTACATGAAAAACTGATTTTCCTTCACAAAAAATGACTTTCGTTCAAGAATTTTGATTGTTTTTCAATTTACTTGAAGTTGCCATTTATCTCATTGGTCCATTACTGAATCATGGTGAATGTAATTTTTTCAAATGAATCTTTTCAGTTTTAAATTTCGTTGATTATTGTATATAGTTAGGGTGCTGGGTCAGCATGGATTTGTTATGAAATAACTCATTGCTTAGTTTGTGTGTGCACTCTATATAATTTTTGTGTATGTATGTATATATGTGAGTGTGTATTATGAACATCAAATAGCCTTTGTTTTTTTTACTTGTGCCATCAAATTGCCTTTTAGCGATTTGAGTTTACATTAAATTTGAAATAGTTTATTGAATTTTAGTTGAAATAGAATGTGCCAAAGGCATTTTTAGACAAACTTGTAAATCTTTACTAACTCTAAATTCTACAAATAAAAGGTACTATTGTTATTGTTTTTATAACTGAATGTTAGTCGAATAAAATGTTTCCATTTTTGATGTTTTTTATGATTTACTATTTTTTGTAGCTGGAATGTATATTTTCGACTTGAAACTGGATGTACCTACATAACATAATTAAAAAAGTTTAATGTGGACACTAGGTGGTTTCATTGTTGTATGAAAAACTTCATTCCATTGTGTGTGAAATTTTATAGAACTATTAACGAATTACATGGACAATTGTATATACAGCAGTTTGTGAATTAATATAGTCTGTTATATTAAAGATATTTATTCATGGAAACACTAAATCGAGGTATTTTCATTTGCTTTGACATCAATCATTCAGAATTCCAAAATGGACCTTCTATTCATATGTAACTTCAAAAATAACCTGCTACTATGTAGTTTCAATGTTGTGGTTTTATAGCTCCATATCTCAATAAATATTTATTTTACTGTGTCTTGGTATATACTGATCGATAGAGAATTTTGTACTCAATACATTGATGCTGTTAATTTTTTCCAAATTTCAAGTTTTTTGCCTCTTTTCAGCTTATTACTATATGATGTTTTTCAGCGATTTTCTCTACGAATTCAAGTTGAACCGAAGCGCTGCCAAAAGAGCCCTACAAATTAACCAAGCATTTGGCAATGATATGTTAAAACTGTTTTTCCGTTAAACAACTGTCGCCCCTCTACGAACGACAAATCTCAAAAGTTGAAACTTGTGAGAGCTAAGACCTAACGAGGTCTTACCTTTCAACGTGTGATTCCTAACACAGGTTGGACGATAGGAAGTAAAAATCGATCATTCGGCCTTGCGGTTCGAACCACCATGATAATTAATGATCGCACTATTCGACATTGGTTTGCGAAATTTTGTTCGGGAGATTTCTGTCACGAAGGTGAGCCCTGATGTGGTCGACCTATGGTAATCCAAAACAAGGATTTGAGGACCCTGGTGAAGACTGACCCATCACAAGCGGTACGTGGGATGGCGGAAGAACTGGTCGTCAGCTCCCATGCAGTTTTTGATGGTTTAAAACGTATTAGAAAGGTCAATAAGCTCGAAAAGTGTGTGCCTTACGATTTGAACGATCGATAGAAATTATCACGTTTCGAGGTTTGTTCTTATTTGCTTTTACGCAATCAAAACGATCCGTTTTTGTATCGGATCGTCGCGTGTGATGAAAAGTGGATCCTTTAAGACAGGAGACTTTCAGGACAGTGGTTGGACAGCGATGAGCCACCCAGGCACTTGCCAAAGGGGAAAACCCACCAAAAAAAAGACCATGGTTACTGAATGGTGGTCACCATCTGGTGAGATTCACTATAACTTTCTGCAACCGGGTTAAACCATCACAGCAGAGCTATCGTGAGAAAATCAACGAAATGTACCGAAAATTGCGTAGCAGCAACAGAGGAGGTCCCATCCTGCTCCACGAAAACGCCCGTCCGCACATCGGACGAACCTTCGCCAATCAGGACCAGTCAAAACAGCCTTCGTCGACATCATCGAATACTGAGCACAATTTTTATGCTGACGAAACTGATTAACTCGTGTTACGTTTGCGAAAGTGCACTGATTCAAAAGGCCCTTATTTCTATCGAATTGAATAAGTATCCACCGAAATATTACACTTTGAATTAGGCTCATTAAAAACAAAACTTTTGAAACAACCTAATATATTTGTTTTGTTGGTGCTGATGAAATGAACCTATTTTTCTTTGATTTTTCACATAAACATTAAGAGTGAATAGAACATCTAAGTTGTAATATATTTGTACTGAATTTGCTAATATCTGAATTGTCCAACTCTGATGTAACACCAATTTCTATTTTCTATGCTCTTTGAAGGAACAGAGAAATGAATTTACTGCTTTGAACTATCGGGAACTTCCAAATTGGAGGCCAAAGTGAAAAATATCCGTGGTAGGTACTCCAATTGTCAAAATGGTACCTACTCCTTCATTTCCTTTTCTGCTATTTTTTCTTTAAATATAAAATTTTCACTTTGTTCTTCCATAGTTTTTGTTATCAATTTCTTATTCAAATATTTAGATTATATCCATTTTCAAATGTATGAAAAACAAACTTTCAACATTGGGATCGCAAGTGAGAAATTCCTTTCGGCCAAATTCGGTTCCGTTTAAATTAAAATTATGTTAGACCCCAAGCATTTAGGAGTCCGTTGAAGCCCCTCCAAGTGATGAGAACAGTTAAAACAGATTTGTTGAATTACTCATGAATCATCAATAACACCCATAAATAAAGAATAATCGATTCTCAATATGTGTTGTTTTATTTAGTGAACAGCATACCTATAGGTATGCTATAGGTATACTATAGTATATGGAACTGAACTTGAATCTACAAATTATTGAATTCAAATGACAATGTATTCCAACATTATGTTAGGATGCGAAATAAAACAGCTGTCAGCAAAGATAAATCTTAGAATAAAATATAAGTAAGCAATGATAATTTACGAATAAAAATATGTCTAGCAAATTTTCTGTTTCTCCGCTAACCAGCTGCCGCACCCCTACGAAGGGCAACCCTCAGAAGTCGAAACTTGTGCGAGCTAAGGGTTAACGAGGTCTTACCTTTTAACGTGCCTAACACGGGTTGGACGATAGCAAGTGAAAATCGGTCGTTCAGACTAAAGCTTGAACCACCGACCAACACGGCAGTCAATTCGAGTGAGTGAACAAAGCACCCACGTCGAACCACCTGGGAGGGAAAATGAGCACAGAAATACTGTAACCCAGAAAAAGTGGGCAGAAAATATGGTAGTCCAGAGAATGTGGGCACGAAAATGGAATGAAATGTAATTCGAAATAGACAACTTGATTATTATTGAACACCGAAACAGCTGGAAAATATTTTGAATTTCATTTGGTAATGACAAACGATGAAATATTGAATAAGAACTATATTTTCACATTAAACAAATATTAATATCTAGTCGTTTTCACATTCAAACATCCAGAAGTTAGTCAGAAAACAAAGCCTCAAATTTACGTACAGATTAATATGCCCCCGGTCNACTAGAAAAAATACCTGTCAAATATGGCTTTGGAAAAAAAAAAAAATAATTTTCAGTTCAATTTTATATGTCACTTGTCATCGATGTCAATAGTGCATTTCTACCACAGTTTGAACGAGATTTTTCCCTAGAATTGGTTGTATCCAATATTATATTTTATTGCAATTGACCTCAATGATTCAATGCAGTTTGATTACTTTGAATAAACTAAATTTGATGTGGTCAAGTGGATCACTACTGCCTAGTCGATTTAAAGGATTTACCGTTTAATTACAAATAGACAAAGACAAAAATAGTTTATTTAAAATAGGTAAATACTGGAAATACAAATATGACAAAAATTTATTTGAATGTAAAAAATATTCAGCAAACTGCTATCTACTGGAGATCTGACTAGAGATTTCTCCCATTGTTAGACACAACTAAAAACTGACCTACTAATAAATTTATGTAGGTTCCATATTTTTCAATTTTCTTTGCAGAATCAATAATTCTATTTCGTTCAAGCCTTAGTGAAACATACTTGAAAATTTGAATGTTTATTTACTTGTAAATACCAAAACTTTTTGTCCAAGTTTAAAAATTATAAACATGACAAGTTGAAAGTCTTGATTTGTTAAAAACTTCAAATGAATCTGAGTAAATGACCACGAAATTAAATAAAAATATTACTTACAACATAATGTCAACCTACGTTTAGTTAAAAATTATATTCAAATTGTTTCAAATTTCAACATTTTTTTTCTATGGAATGTCATTTATAATGCTGTTATGTTANCGAGCCATTTTACAGATGTTTAGATTCCAAGAAATATTTTTCCCATAATTTAAACTAGGTGTGGAAGAAAACGGTTTTCAAATTGATACAGAATATTCCTCTCATGAATTGATCAATATTTTTCTAAGTAAAACTTTTTCTAGAAAGACCCCAAGATTATCAAGAAAAATGAATATATGATGTTTACTACACTGAAACCCCAAAATAATGTACATGTATTCCACAAATAAATGATACATCTCACAATAATTGTTTTGTTTTAGGTAATCAAGATTTTTTCTGATTGAACACTATCAATGGAAATTATGAACGAGAAATAGTACAATTGATTGAAAATGATTTGTAAAACTGTTTTGAATAAACTTTCGGAATGAGAAATTTAAATAAGTCAAAATGTAAGTTGTTAATAAAAGCAAGCTTTCATGTTACAAGTGATGAACAAAAATAAATATAATGTAGCTAGCTGTATACTACTATTAGTTATGAGATTTTTACAATGATAATTTCAAATATCCAGTGTACTTGTACTTGGCTTTTCATACCTAGAGGAACTAGGTTTATGACTCATTTATTTCAGTACAAGCTTCAAATTATACATATTGACGCGTCTTTCACTGAAAGTTTTGAGAGTTAAGTACATTTTTTTGCTGGAAACCAAAACATGTCTGTTCCAATACCTACCTCATATCCTTTCATGTCTTCATAAGGTAAAGTTCCAAAAGCGTACATTTCCCATATAGTGACACCAAAGCTCCAAACATCACTCTTATGGGAGAATTGACCATAATTGTATGATTCTGGTGCATACCATTTCAGGGGCCATTTTCCACCACCCATTGCCCTGAATACCCAATTATTCAAAATTATTATCAGTGTAAATACACCTCAAATTGTTTAAAAAATATATCAATATCAACTTTCACCTACCTGTAATAATTACGCCCTGCTCCTAATGCCCTGGAAAGGCCAAAGTCACTGATTTTTGCCTGAGTACGACTTGCCAATAAAATATTCCTAGCCGCCAAATCTCTATGTACAAATCTGTTTTCTTCCAGATATTGCATCCCTTGAAAAATGTCCAAAATATAGCTTTTATCGCAGGGTGTAATCTAGATGATATTATTAGAAATCAATCGAATTCAGGGGTACGTTCAGCAAGAAATATCAGTACTTGATAGCAGTCGACCATTTTGAAGTTAGAGATTTGTTTGCAATGGAATATCAACTATTCGATTGAACCACTCCACGTGCGTGTGTTCGCTATACAGCAGTGGGCACAGCAACCGATTCATCAGTATGAAAATATTGGAGAGAATTTTTGTATGTCTGACTTCAAGGAAGAGACTTTGCGACGCCAAAGCTCCATTGTCTGCGAGAAATTATTTGCTGCGATAACTGTAACGCTGTGTTTCCATTTTGCCATAAGGGCTATCAAAATAAAATACATGCTTCAAATTAAAAGATGAACTAAAAATGTTCTCTGAAACTCAAAGAAACATAACGTGTAGGAACAAATAAACTATATTGTTGTATCAAACAATAGTCAAATCTGTGATACAGAGATAATATCATATCTCTGGCACAAAGTTGGATATTTTTCCCCTTAATTCATAAAGATTTGTAGCTCTCCGAAATTCATGCTGATAGGAACATTTTTTCAGATATCCCCAAAGAAAGAAATCACTCGGAGATGCGTTTGGTGATCTGGGAGGCCACCTAATCATACCACGTGTAGATCAATCGATCAGGAAATGTATTTAGGAGAAATTCAACAAATTGTAGTTTGTGACGAAATTGACCTGTTTTCAAATGCAACAGTTGCTAGATTTATTGTATCTCGAGCCGAATGATTACCAAAATACCACTTTAAAATTTGTATCTTTTCTTCTTTTGTGACCGTGAACATTTTTGAGTTAACAAGAAATTATTTCAATTGTTATGAACTGACTGCTACCTAATACCTAACATATCAGTTGCTCGAGTTAAACAGTGCAGGAAAGAAAAAGGTATTTCAATCAAATAATTGATGTTATGTAGCGAACAATTTTCTAATTTTAACTGGTCGATTGCTATCGCAGACCCCGTCCAGAATACATTGGGATTCGTATGAACCGATATTTTTTTTCTACATCTATATATAATTCAATATAAATTTGGCCTCTCTTCAGAATAAACCTGAGCTCATAATGAACTTTAAGCAGATAGTTTAGAATGTGTGCATACTATATAAAGACTGGAATATATATACTCTTCCAATATTTCTCAAAGATATTTTACTTCATACCTATCATACTTCGAAAGAATTTTTCGATGATAAGTTTGAATTGTAGTATACTCGAATTTGATTTTTTATCATTTTATTAAATTGATCATCATTATTTCATTGGTAGTTTACCACTAGAACATGCTTCAAATTTGGAAATTTTTTTGACAAGGATCTGTTCTCAAATTTTTTTGTCATCTGTCAGTTATCGGAAAACATTTTTTCTGCCTTTATTTAGTATTATCAACAGCTGTCAAATATTTTTTTTAATAATTTTAGGACAATCTAGTTTTAAACAAATTGAAAAGTTTGGGTTTTCATAAATATGTTTATATTTAACAGGTCATACTATTGCATTGCTGACTTATAATAAAACATTANTATTCTTTTTTACTTGTTTCAGGGATTTCAAATCATTTTATATAATAGACAATGGAAGTCCGAACTAGTGAAATTCATCACGAAACATTGTCAATCACCTTCAAACCAACTATTGATACTATTTCAATTTGGCAAGGATGAAGTTGTAATGGAGTCTCCTTTTTGTGAATTTCAACAGTTGGAGACTAGAGTGTGGCCAGAAGTATTGGATGCATGACCTGAAACGTTTGAACTTAACTAAAACAAAACTAAAACAACCTTACAAAGACGACATCTATGAGATCCACAGAAAACTCAAACCCAATTTAAACAAGATGAAAGAGGGTTCTAACATCAATTTGATGCAAAACCTTTTACAACTTTTTTTCTACAATATTCTGTGCCACAGACTTATCAGACTGATTGACTTAAAATAACACAATAAGAAATTTTTCAAAAAATAAAATTATTCAATGCTTTTGACAGACATCTCAACTTACCACATGCAATTTGGGCAGCCCATATTTTAAATTCATAATTCGGATTGATTCCATCCTTATTAGCCTCGATATACTGCAAAATCGATCCCAGATGAACTAATTCCTGGACCATCAAAAGAGGTGGTCCTAGAGACAACCCTATGAGTTTAACGACACAATGGTGGTTTAATTTCATCATAAGATGTGCCTCGCTCAAAAATTCATCACGATTCGTTTCCATTTGTTCGTTGTGGAGAATTTTAATAGCAACTTTAGTTCGTTCTCTGTTCTTTCTCAAATAAGTACCTTCATATACAGATGCGAATTCTCCTTCGCCAATAAGGGTTCCTTTTGTCAAGCGATCAGCTGGAATGCAATCGTTCTCATTTTCTGAGACATTATTATTATTTGTACGAATTAGGTCATTTGTGAAGGTTAAACTCTGGAAATGTTTGTTAGCGACCTTCTCATCGGGTTTTGGTACTACGTTGGATTGAACTTTTTGATTCTTTTGTTTTGGTTTTGGCATCGTTGAAAACTAGAAAAAAAAAAAAATATTAACAAGAAATGAAAATTAAAAGATTCCAAACCAAGTTACTTCACGACGTTGCGATTGTTAGTATCCACAATCGTCTTCGGGTGATAATTGGACTTATTCCTTGGAGATCTTACTATTTATAGGTCATTCGAGTGCTTTCACCTATCCCCTCTTCCCGCTCTCCGCTTCATTGGTTTTAGCAGAAGCTGACCGTTTGGCGGGAGTTGGTCTTGTTCCGCTTGATTAGAGGTTTCCATATGTTGCGTATCTTTACGCTAGCTTGACTAAATGTGTTGTTGGACAACATATATGCAGCTTCTTTGAATTTTCTCCTAAACCAGGGTTCCTCCTTGTGGATAATTTCAGAAAGTACAAATACTGGTTTTGGCGGCTTCTCTTCCTTGTGGAACTCTTGCTGTCTTCTAGCTAAAGCCTGTTCCCCCATCACTTTGGAGTAACCATTCCGTTGAAGGTCATTTTTGATGATGCCTAGTTCTTTTTCATGACCTTCCATTGTATTATAAACCCGAAAGCACGGTTTAGTAGAGTCTTGATGATTCCTCTCTTAGCCGATTGATGGTGGTTGGATTCCTGGTTCAGATACTGTCCCGTGTGAGTGGATTTTCGATATACAGATGTTTCACATTTAGTGCCTGTCCTATTCACCAATGTATCTAAGAATGGCAATTCGTTGTGGACTTCCTTCTCCACTGTGTATTTTATTTCATTGTAATTTCAGTTTTTTGTCTAATATAATTGTTACTTTTCAGCTAATCTTTTTTAATTTTTTACAGATTCTTTCAGGGATTTCAAATCAATTTATATCATATTAGACAATGGAAGTCCGAACTAATGAAATGCATAAACAAGGTCAGGTAATCCAATTAAGATAAACCAAGCCACGCCCGGTAATAGTAATATAAATACCAGTATCGCATCGTAGTGACCGCAATCGGAACGGGAGCAATTCGAGCACCAACTCGGGCACTGCGACCGTTACCACATTGCCTTTGATAATGGTAATAAAATTGATTTGAACACGAGAAATCCACGAGGCATGTGGAAAAGCATAAAATCACTGATAAACACAACAAATAACTCTAGTTTCAGTAACGGCACCCAGTTTGAAATAAACGGTCAAGTAAAAATTTGCACGGAAACTCGTGAAATTGCTGAAAATTTCAATCTTTATTTCGAAACTAGTATCGAATCCATAGTTGACTCTATAAATGCCAATACAGGGCCAAATTCGGTTCCGTTTAAATTAAAATTATGTTAGACCCCAAGCATTTAGGAGTCCGTTGAAGCCCCTCCAAGTGATGAGAACAGTTAAAACAGATTTGTTGAATTACTCATGAATCATCAATAACACCCATAAATAAAGAATAATCGATTCTCAATATGTGTTGTTTTATTTAGTGAACAGCATACCTATAGGTATGCTATAGGTATACTATAGTATATGGAACTGAACTTGAATCTACAAATTATTGAATTCAAATGACAATGTATTCCAACATTATGTTAGGATGCGAAATAAAACAGCTGTCAGCAAAGATAAATCTTAGAATAAAATATAAGTAAGCAATGATAATTTACGAATAAAAATATGTCTAGCAAATTTTCTGTTTCTCCGCTAACCAGCTGCCGCACCCCTACGAAGGGCAACCCTCAGAAGTCGAAACTTGTGCGAGCTAAGGGTTAACGAGGTCTTACCTTTTAACGTGCCTAACACGGGTTGGACGATAGCAAGTGAAAATCGGTCGTTCAGACTAAAGCTTGAACCACCGACCAACACGGCAGTCAATTCGAGTGAGTGAACAAAGCACCCACGTCGAACCACCTGGGAGGGAAAATGAGCACAGAAATACTGTAACCCAGAAAAAGTGGGCAGAAAATATGGTAGTCCAGAGAATGTGGGCACGAAAATGGAATGAAATGTAATTCGAAATAGACAACTTGATTATTATTGAACACCGAAACAGCTGGAAAATATTTTGAATTTCATTTGGTAATGACAAACGATGAAATATTGAATAAGAACTATATTTTCACATTAAACAAATATTAATATCTAGTCGTTTTCACATTCAAACATCCAGAAGTTAGTCAGAAAACAAAGCCTCAAATTTACGTACAGATTAATATGCCCCCGGTCCAAACAATCAGAAATCAAACCATTTGTATACCGAACATATTTTCGTAAAAGAATAGAGACAACTGCGTTTTTTTTTTAGAAAAACACAATGTGGAACTGGCATTCAGACCACATGCCACATTGTAATTTTTTTTAATGCCAAAGATAAAGTGAACAAAATGGAGAAATCTGGAATTCATAAGCTTGTGTTCGGAGTGTAATGGTGTTTATGTGGGACGAAATTTCTCAAAACGGTATGATCAAGATGAAAGGTCCTTGAGACTAGGTAAAAATGATTCAACGTTTCCAAATCATTCCTTAGAATGCAACAATTCCTGAATCTAAACGATACGGAAATGTTGCATTATGCAAGCAAGGGTTGGAAACTCAAATTATTTGGAATCCTTGGAAATTCATAAGCATTGCGAATGTTACCTACTAAATGATCAAATCGATCTAGTTTACTTACCCACATTGTCACAGGTGAACAAAATTCAGGTACTCAATGGTGTTTAGCCATATAAGGACTAATATTATCAATTATTTTCAGTTTATTGTATTCGTTTGAAAATAAATCAGTTTTTGCGCAATAAATGCCTTCAGAGTCTCAGTTTTCAGAAATACAAAAAATAAATCATCATGATTATAACTCCTAAATATTTGTTCAATTTGGCAGCATCGATCCATTTGATACTCAATCGACTTTTCAAATTGTGGTAGTTCTTAGGTACTGGAAAATGTTAAAATATTATTGATGTATATTTTAAGGGGCAGTGGAAGAACGATGAGGTTCCATTTTAACAGATTCTGGTATAAACTAAATCTTAGGTTTCAAGTCTTCAGAGTTTTTTCTGCATGCAGAACAGTGTTTATTTCGTTGTATATAATAAACAAGAGCAAACTTAAATTTGATGAGAATAAAGTTGTCATAATGACAGGAACTAGTAGAAGGAAGGATACTCGAAATGAGGAAAGACTGAAGAGAGGAAGTGAAATCGCAACGTGAATCCTAGGGGTGCATGAGTATCGCCTTGTTCTTGCAAAAAATGTTCAAACATGATTTTTAGTAGTTTTCCCAGAGCTATTGGGCTTGTTGATACTTCATCTCACTAGACAACAGATGCCACTGAAATTTGACAAAATATAAAAGACCTCATAATTTTTTTTCACCAGACCCTTCATTTCTATCGAAACCTCACAGATTATAATGATTTGAAAAGTCATTCATTCTCTCAGAACTGCAAACTATAAAGTCTCCTATCTATATGAGTCAATAGCCCGTAATGTAACGTGATACATTTTTGGTCCATTGTGAAATGACATTCTTTGCTTCCAGAAGCATTTTGAGCTTTTGCTGTATCAATTATTCTGTAACGTAACTGAATAAGATGAAAAATTAAGTTGCATGCAGGTTATTCGGCTTGTAGGAGCGTATTAATATAAGCCATGCTTCAATGTGGTACGGATCAAATGCAATAGTACTCCGTTACCATTAGCCTTAACATACCTGTTCATGGTTTCATTACGGGTCTACTATTTGAGCAAATGTTAAGATTTTTGATTAAGTTAAATAATTGTCTGGGAGGCTATTTCTTTATATCATAGTGCATTAGTTTTATTCCTTTAAGTACCTTGAGCTTTTTGCAACCAGAGCTTGAAACTTTACACTAGAAAAAATACCTGTCAAATATGGCTTTGGAAAAAAAAAAAAATAATTTTTAGTTCANGCAATGCCAATTATAAAACAGATATATAATAAATAGATTGGGGAAAATATATCAAATAATACCCATCAATATAAGCTTTTAACAACTACGTATGTATCTTGGAGAAATTTAAAAAATAGACATTTATATTTGAAGGCACAAACATCATGAGTTTTAACAGATGACCTACACACCAAAGTTGCATCTACCCATGATCACATAGTATTAACGATTGGCACCATGAAAAAATTACGCCAAATTTTCTTCTGGCAAGAGTTCTTTTATGTTTATATATTCAATGTCAGATGTGAAAAAATCGACAAGTTCTACAAAAGTTGGTCTATCATCGGCCATGTACTCCCAGCATCGACGAATCATATTGTATATATTGTTTGGACATTCCACTGGTTTCTCCAATCGCTTTCCTTCATCAATGAAAATTATAGCCTAAAAAACAAAACATTTTTGACACAATCCTGTTTTAAAATTCTCGAAATTTTGAACTTCTTTAACTTGTCTATAAGAATCCATATACAATAGCAATAGTTGAATTTTTCAACAGAGAACTGTTCAATAACCTTCAGACTATTTTTCAGAAAACAACAATCTGTTGGTGAAACATATTGTACAATAGGGTCACTTTAAATTTATTGAATCATTGAGAATAATGAAAATTAAACATTGTTTGTTGTCCTAGTTAGGAGAAATGCCATTAATGGGAATTGATGCCAATAATAGCATTTGATATGTTTAGTAAGAATACTTGCTTTCCTCTTACAAAGAAATTGAGTAAACTAATGGATAACTCTTAACTGACAAAACTCAAAGACCTTTATACAGGGCATTTACCACACGGGATATCTCTAGAACTAAAGAATTTATTTCAAATCTGCAAAAGCCGGTGAGTTAACAAGAATAATGACTTCAGCTCGACACAGGAGTCAATTAAAAATGTTTTATGATAAACATGGCGCTGCAGCTTAAAACATTTTTTCGGTGACAACTTTCAAATATGGTGTATTTGATATGGAATTTCTTTTAGAACAGTTTTGTAGTATATTTTTTGGCCAAAATTTCGATTCATAAACTTGCTGCTGAAGATGGGGTTCTACACCAACCATAAATGATTGATTATTTTGTTTTGTGGTTTGGATAGGTAGTTTTTTTATCTGGCTTTCCATCGAATTTGTTCGTCCATGTATGTACTTTTTTATGTTGTCATCTGTTATGTTGTTGGGTACCCTTGTGATAGAGAGCCATATTTTCTTTCCAGTTTCTACATTTCCACTCATTTGACTGTCTCCTTCTCCACTGCCAATTTTGAAACATCTTCTTCTCCTTGTAACTATTTTGAAATCGTTCATCTCTTCGTCATTGTTAGGTTTATTTCCATTCATCGGAGAATCGTTTATTGCCGGTTTTATGATTTCATCACATTTCTGTTTTGTCTGAATTTCCATCAGTTCTGCAGAAAGTTGATTCAATTGTATACCTACATCACCCTGTGTATTCAAGCTTTATGTTTGTTTTGGTAATCAAATTTTTATTTTTGTAGGAAGTATTAATCGCCTTTTTGCTGGTTGTTGGTATCGTGTCCTCATTTGTTTCGTCCATTGTTTTTAATACTGTATCGGAATATTGGTTTTGTGAGTTAAATTTACTTCCTTTTTTGTTGCATCTTGCCATTTCAGCACCCACATAGTTTTTGATGATTATGTCCTTATCAATTATGATTTGCCTTAGGAGTGAATTTTCTTCTTTCAGGTATGCTTCTTCTGATAGATATACATTTTTATTTGAATTGTCAACTTGGTATTTAGAAACGTGTTTACACTCTGTTTTTTTCTGCTTGCTAGATTGTTCAATGCATGAGGGGTGGAAAATTTGTGCACATCTGCTGCACTTTATTTTGTCTTTAACAATTTTTGAACAATGTTTACACTTTGTTAATTTAAGTTCACTGGAGAGAAGTGACACAGCACCTTCTCCTGTCGCCATCTTTAATACTGAACATGAAAGGTCCTTCAGACTAGGTACAAATGATTCGTCGTTTTTAAACCTTTCCTTGGAATGCAACTAGTTCCCAAATCTTAAGCGATACGACAATTTTACACTATGCAAGCAAGAGTTGAAAACTCAATTATTTTGAATCCTTGGAAATTCATTAGAATAAGCTTTGCGCATGTAATCTACTAAATGATTGAATCAATCTTGTCTACTCGCCAGTTTTCAGATCAGAATATCCACATTGTCAGAGGTAAACAAAATTCAGGTACTGAATTAAGTTAAGGACCTCTGTTATTATGTCATTATCTACGCATAGTGATGTGTAAATATATAAGGGTTAACATTATCAAATATTTTCAGTTCATTATATTCGTTTGAAAATGTCCTTATTGAATGAAACTGCAGAAACGTTAGTTACAAATACAAATGGTATAAAAACATAGGAAGTTCCATTTCTCAATTTTCATCTTGAATACATCATGTAAGTTCAGAAACAAACACTTTTTCCAAACACCAGATAGCAATATCCTTCTCAACACACGTTTCACCAACCCAGTAGGCGTCTTCAGGAGATGAAGAAAACTCATGTCCAAGGTGGCGTCTTCAGGAGATGCGTATTTCACCAACTTGTTTGATGAAACATGCATTGAGAAGAGTATTGTATTTCTGATATTGCAGGTTTTCAGAGTTTCACTCTTGCCATCCAACCTGTAAGATCATTCAGCAAGTAAGTTAATCCTCTTTATCAAGAATCTGGACTTATTCTACCAAGTTTGAACAGGTATGAGCCACAATAAACCTTCGTGAGTTGCAGTAGAAAGTCGAAAAAACCCACTCACTTTGTACCTTCTTCCTGCCTACCCACCTACACACACCACCTTCAGATTCTTCCCATTTCTTTTCCACTTGTAACTATGACTTTTATAAAAAAAACATTGAAAAATTTTCGCTGTTCCTTTTTTTGATTGTTGAACAAAATTTAGTCATATTCTTCAAATATTGAAGAAACTGCCTATCTATTGACGTATTTTGGCAAAAGTCTTTTACTGGTCAAGTAGAAGTATATACTAGTATTCATACCTCTGGCACTGGAGGTTTTGGCTTTGGAGGCACTGGAGCTCTTAATACTGTTGGTAATCCATCTGGCATCATGCTATAGTGTTCAACAATATGTTCCACAGAATCTAGATATGGTCCATCATCGATAAACAAAAAACCATTCTGTAATAAAACAAAGATTACACCATGTTAAAAACATTTTCAGCTACGTACCTCATTGTGGATAATATAATTATAAAAAATATCTTCGTAGAACAATGTCAATACATATTCCTTATTTCTTTCACTAAACCTCACTAAATAGGCACCATTTTTTGTATTATGTTGTTTAATTATCGTTTCTGCTTCATGTCTGTCCAAAGTGCCATGGTACCACTCACTTTTCGACGTTTTTGTTGTATACTTATATTTATCTGAAAAATAATTTGATTTCATTGAATTGACAAATAAATTACAATAAAAAACAATGCCTCCACAAACAAGTCCTTACCTGCTGTAGACAACTCAATAACCGAATGATCATATTAATCTAAAAAAGTATAGCCTGTAATTGCATTGAGTCATTGAGGATGAAGGAGATTCCGATCATTGATAGATCATATGTAATGAGAGTAGTCCAGCTGAGGTTTTATTAAGTTACTATACTTTTGTTTGAATTCACTTTGAATTTAGCTTTATATTTCCAATGTCTATCTTCATGATGAAATCTCTGCTACGCAAGTAAGCTTTATTTAGCTTGCGTAACATGTTTTATAACTAAAACTATTTTAGTCATCTCCCGATGATTCTAAGTGGGGAAAAAAACAATGTTTGAATGTTCTGGTGAATAGAAAGTGTTTTCATTAGAAATTGTATTCCTTAATACTTATCAAAACCATTATCATTATTAGTATTGTGAAAATACCTGGATGACTAGATTACCACCAGGATTATATCATTCATGCTGTTTTCAGATTTTTGAATTATAATTTTAATCTGAAAAAAACTTTTTCCCCACACACCATCACCAGACTAGTCATCTCCTGAAGATGCTAACTTGGTTAGCAAAAGGCACATCGATCGACAGTGCTTTAGTTATTGTGTGGAAAAAGTTATTTCATTATAACCATTTAGAGGAGAACAGGCAG